TCTGTCAATACTTATAAAATACTCTGAAAATGAAGTCATCATCAAAATCACTGATAGAGTTACTGATAAGTTCACTGATAGCAGAATTATGTATCAATCTATTCTGTCAGTCTGACTAATATCAAAAAGACTCTAGAAAAGTTATTCTGTGTTACAATAACAGATTCTCATATGAAACTCTCTTAATAATATTATAAATATCTAGATATCTTCTGATAAGATAATATTATAAACATACTTCTCTTATAAGATTCTGAAGTGAATCACAGTATCAAGTTAGAGAAAAAGAATAATAAGAACTCTGAACTGTCATGAGACTCTCTTTATAACATGTCTCAAGACAAACTTCTTCTTCTTTAAAAGACACTCAATGATTTGTTGAATAAAGAATTCATACACATTAGTAACTCTTTCATCACAGTCTCTGTTCTCTTTGTAAAAAAACCAGATGAAGAACTTCAATTCTGTGTGAATTATTGAGAATTGAATAGATTAATAAAGAAAGACTGTTATTCTTTATCTCTTATTAATAAAACTCTAGCTTGCATTGAACAAGCTCAATAATTTACAAAGTTAGATGTTATTACTGCATTTCATATGATCCGCATTACTGAAGAAGATGAGTAACTTATAGCATTTTAAACATAATATAATCTCTTTGAATGAGTAGTTACACTCTTTGAACTGATTAATGTTCTCAGTACATTTCAGAAGTATATTAACTGAGCACTTCAAGACTTTCTTGATGAATTTGTATTTACTTATCTAGATAACATTCTCATCTTTACTGATGAATTCAGAAAGAAATATTAAGAGTATGTATAAAAGTATTACAATGACTATAAGAAGCAGAACTATTAATTGATATTAACAAGTGTGATTTTGAAGTCAAGAGTACTAAATACTTAGATTTTATCATAAAAGCTAGTAAGAGAATCTGAATGAATTCTGAGAAGGTCTCTAGTATTCTTGAATAAGAGACTCTATACACTGTGAAAGATATATGAAGCTTCATCAGATTTACTAACTTCTATTAGTAATTTATATAAAACTTCTCAGATATCATGAGATCACTTATAGAACTCACTAAGAAAGACTCAGTATTTCAATGATTAGTAGACACTGAAGCTGCATTTACAGATGAAGAAGATATTCATTAATACCTCTCTACTGATAATATTTGATTCTGATTGTGAGACAGTTATTGAAGCTGATTTCTCTGACTATGTGACAGAAGAAGTGATATTATAATATAATAATGAAGATGTTCTATAATCATGTATCTTCATGTCTAAGAAACTGAGTCTCACTGAATGCAATTATGAGATCTATGATAAGAAACTTCTTATAATTGTATACTGTTTAGAAGAATGAGACTCTGAACTCTGAAGTATCTCTGAATTTGAGATAGTCATAGATTATAAGAATCTCAAATACTTCATAACTATCTGTAAACTCACTGAATGATAGATACAATGATCTGACTTCTTAAGCTGCTTTCATTTTACAATACACTACTGTTCTGACAGTTAGAACTCAATGACAGATGCTCTCTTATAATAAGAGTAAGATATATCTTCTTATGTAATAGACACCTGTTGAATGAACTGAGAACATCAGCTTCTAGATTCAAAGATATTAGTTGATCAAGATGAAATGACTTATAATACTATACATACTTCTCTGATTAGAATACCTTCTCTTCAAACTATCACTGATACTGACACTGACACTGATATTAATATCTCAACTTCTTCTGAATCTACACTGAATGAATTATGACATGTAATAGCTTAAACTGATGAACTTCTTCAAGTACTCACTGAAGCAGTATATCAACAAGCACTCTGATTCCCCTCAGAACTATGTATAAGAACTGATATTTCAGAATACTTAATTAACAATAATAACACTCTACAGTTCTGTAAGTAATGTTAAGTTCTCTACTCTGAATTCTTACATACTCAGATAATGCAAGAGATGTATGATTTATATATAACTGATCATTCAAATTATGAATAACTGTATTAAATAATCTCTCAGAAGTTCTACTGATCTGAGATATTAAACACTATCAGATATTATATCTGAAACTGTAAACATTATTTCTTCATCATCTTGTAAAAGAACTGTAGAAAAGGCCTGCTGAAACTGCTTGATATTTCTAATAGAATCTGATAAAATGTGATAATTAACTTCACTATTAATCTCTCTGAGAGTAAGAGCTGTAGAAACATTCTGATTATTGTGAACTGATTAAGTAAGAATGTTATATTAAAACTCTGTAATAAGATGAATACTGAACAAGTTATCAAAGCTTTTCTAAGAAGTCTGTTCTATTGAATACATGAATTACTGAGATCTATAGTATTAGATTAGAGTTATCAATTTATAAGTACTCTCTGAATAAGAATCTGTCAAGTTCTTAAGATTATATACTATTTATCAACTGTCTATCACTCTGAGACTGATAGTATATCAGAATAGATAATTCAGACTGTAAAGAATTATCTTTATAAGTTCTGTAATTACTTATAAAATGATTGATATAATCTTCTTCTATATGCAGAGAATGCTATCAACAGTTGAGATGCTATTTTAACAGATATAAGTCTGTTCTTTCTTACATATGAATATTACATGAAAGTGTTGAATCTTCTAGAGATTACACAGTTTACATTGAATTCTCACAGTCTGATTCAGATCACTGATAATATAGTAATGAAGCTCTGAGACATCTATGACTGAGCAGAGATCTTCATAATAATTATGAAACAAGACTAAGAAGATTGAATCAATATCTGACAAGATTTCACAGAGTAGTATAAGATAAAAGATCTTGTATAATTGAATCTCAAGAACATACAAATCACATGTTCATCTTGTATGCTAGATTACTATCATATCAGATATAAAGTGATAGAAGTTCTAGATAGTTATAACTACTGTCTTAATATATTATCAGAAATTCATAATATCTTTTATACAAGTTTACTTTATCACACTGTCACTGATCTATTCTCTTCTTAACTGACTTCTAACTGACAACTGTCAAAGATCATAGAAGAAGATAATAAGCTTGAGTGAGAGATTGAAGATATTCTCAATAAGAGATTACATAACTGTAACTGATAATATCTTATAAAATAAGTTAACTATAATTAACTGATTTGAACTTTAAGTTTTATATTATCTGAAACTAGACTGGCCGCTGAAATCATGAATTTCACATTTGATTCCATTTGATCTGATCCCATACATTTCTTGGCGTGAATCCCGCTGGGACTGACTATCAAAAAACCATGTAAAGTGACTATATATCAGATTTTAAAATGAGATCATGACATGAAAAAAATGAGAAAGTGGTCTCATTTAATCTCATTTAGTCTCATTCTTGGCATAAAGTTACTATTTTTAGACATTTTAAGGTTTTTTTTAGACTATTTTTAATTTTTTAAAAAGTAATGCTTTTTGATAATGCTCAAATGAGATTTAAAGTCATTTAAAGCAATAAAAATAATTTAAATTGAGAAGTGAAAATCATGGTCTCATTTGAAAAATGTGACAAGAGTAGACAGTAAGTCTCACTGAAACAGTATGAGACTACTATCTAATGTTAAAACTGTGTAATGGGATCAGTCAAATTGATAATAGAACTATCAAAAAATCTGGTTCTGATCTCAGACACGGTTACACGGTCAGTCTATCTGAAACAGTAGTTCTTGACTAATAAGAACTACTTCTGAAAAGAGAAAGCTAATGTGATGAGCTGTATCTGATTAATTATATGGACTATTCTGTTACACTTTACAGATTTCAATTACTTCATTCTTGAATATATATACTCTGATTCTCAGTCATTTTTAATCACTGATTCTCAGCTGTTATAAATGTATATAGATTCTTCTACTCTGAAACTTCACTGTGTACATCATCATATACATGTGTAAATATTCACTTTGATTACTAATTCTTACACTTTCTCTTTCTTTTCTTCTCTAATGTTTTTCTCTTTGTTATATAAGATCTATTAATATTATACTGATCTATTTAGTGTAGATCTCTTACAATCTCAATACTGATAGAATAAGATGATTTTAACATCTGATAGATGTATCAAATGAAGCAGTAGTTAAAATAATACCTTATATTGACAAGGAATACTAATTGGCAGTGATTTGCACAACAGGTCTCATACTGTGCAGGTGTAAAGCTTGTGTGATGAAGGTTGCTAGCTTGTGAAAAGTTATGTAGGCTACTGGGGTAAAGAGCTCTATCACCACCAGCGTACTGCTGATAGAAGGGCCGATCAACCGCGGGACCCTCAACACCTCTTCTCAGACCAGCTATCACAGAGTACAATACTTTCTCTCAGTGGCTTTCTTCAGTGGTCTCCTCACAATGGCTCCTTTTTAATAATGGACTGGATCACTCAGTTCTAGGGCTTAATGGGACTTCTAGGGCACACTTCTGGGATGTCTCTTGGCACTGTTAAAATGTTCAAGGGTATTTGTTAGGAATTTTTAAGTCCATTCTGGGATTGAACCCATGCATGTTGACCACAGCGGGGCTCATGCTTAACGGTCTCATAACCTGTAGGCTACTGGGGCAAAAGAGCTCTATCACCACCAGCGCACTGCTGGTAGAAGGGCCGACCAACCGCGGGACCCCCAACAGTTATATGGGGGAAGGATTAGTAAGCCAGATCACGTGACCTGACACTTTCACCTCGGTTCCTTCAGTCTCTCGTTCCACTTGGTGTTCCGCACCCTTTCTCATTACACTTGTCAGTACGACTTCGTCGAATTGCTGTTCTTCGCTCGCCTAAAAGCGTCCTGAGAGGCAGATAAGGCCTATATTTAAGCCGAAGTCTCAGCTCTCACCAAATTCCAAACCAAATCCCAAAGCTCCTACACGAACATTACCCAAACGAAAGCTGTCGAAACCGATATCAAATCCTTGTTTCATCGAACTCGTCAGTCCTGTCATTACGAACCGAGATGCCGGCTGTTTCTTTGCCTATTTCTTTGACGACTCCGATTGAATTCAAGTCATACAGTGAAAATGAGGACTATCTTGTGGAAGAAAAGCCTGAGCCAAACTACCGCTCGCAGACTTTGGTTTACTGTTCTCGAGAGTCAAAGTGGTGGATAAAGGTGACTTTTCGCGGCGGCATACTGAATGAGTCAACAATAAAACATAGGACTTCAAAAAAGGAACGTCGCAAACAGTTCCAAAACTTTGTCAGACTCATAGACTATGGCGCTCTTCCTCTTCTTGATGACACGGTTACGGAACTGATCCTTGATGATGGAGGACAGGGCTCCAAAGTCATTATACATGCATCTGAAGAATTTACCAGCAATCCTTTCGTCAAGATCGCCGCAAAACTGAGATGTACCATCCAGGAAGATCCTTTGCGAGTCATTTATCCATCATGCGATGAATTTCCCTCCTTTCGATGTATCAACTCAAGCGATCTTTGTGACGAGATTGAAATTACGGACGGAGTCTTGCAGGTTCTCGATGTCAACAGCAAGATACCATACATCCTCAAGGTCGTGAACCGACCCCTCTATCAGCCTCATGACACGGAGGTCATTCGCAAAGAACTTGAAAACCTTGAGATATTTCGAGGCGTGCCGAATATTGTGCAAGCCGCCGGCATCGCAGTATCTACAAACCCTTACATGACGTCTAACACAAGAGATCAGCCTCTCATAGTCACTGGTATTGTGCTCAAATTCTACAGTGGTGGCTCTATCCAGAGAGCCTTGAGTGAACATCGCCTGCTTGAACATTCCTGGGAAAGGTGGCCAAAACAAATCGCTACTGCATTACACCGGTTTCACGCGGCTGGAAAAACCCACATGGATATTAAGCCTTCGAACGTTGTTCTTGATGCGGATGGAAACGCAGTTCTTATTGACATCAGTGGAATTGGCGGAATCACACACGGTTGGCGTGCCCCCGAGATCCGAGATGAGATATCACCCAACGAACTCCCGTATGGGGTGCGTAAATCGAACGACACCTGGGCATATGGAAAGTTTCTGTCAGAACTTGTTCGGCATGCAAAAGATAGCCCTATTACAAGGATACTGAAGCGGATTGCCGGTCGCCTAATGGTAGAGAGCGTGCATGGACGCATGAGTATGTTCGAGGCTATCTTGGAGCTTTTTGGGATTGACAACATTGACCGCTCATGCCAATAGAGACCAATCCAACTAGTGTGATCACAAAATATTGTTCTCCGAAATATCCTTGCCTTGATTCGCCTCAATAATCAGCCCATTCAATATCATCTTCGTCAAATCCGCCGTCTGTTCGAGGACCTTCGGACAGTCAGCGAGTATATTAAGGCCATCAAAATCTAGCCTTACCTGGACCTTCCCTCTTTAAATTCGGTTTTTTGTCACAGCCACTGATGCCACAGTTTGGCGAACCGCTGGTAGAGGCGTGCTCGGTGGTCCCCGCCTCGCACACTTCCTTTTTGCGATTTGCATCTCCACAGGGTCGGTTGAGGTTCTTGTGGTAGTGCCCGCAGTTATGGACTCGAACTCTGAAGCTGCACATTGCAAGCGGAAAATGTTATGATATCTCTGTGGCTGGAAGCGAAATTATTATTTGCTCGGTTGGAAGCGTAGTTGGATGAGCTCTGGCTAAACGATATTATGGCGATATATATTTGCAGCGCAACAGGGAATTTTTTTGTTGCCGCACGGCCCCTTTCTCAACTTGGTGTTTACCCCTCACCAGAAGGAGCCCAACCACCAATACAGTTATATGATCATGAAGCTGGAGTTGGTGGTTTGTTATGGCTGGAAAATTTGGGCACACCGACATTAGATCCCTGCATTATTCAAATCGCTCCCACCACGAGTAACCGATTGGCTGCGAGATTTGACTTGGCAGGCCTGCGAAGTCTGCGCACTGAATTGGATGCAGAGACTCCATAAAAAACTCCCCTGTTGCCTCGAAGATATGTACGGCATTCCAAGAGGATATGCAGGATGGTCTGTGTGTTTGGTGTCATCTTGTTCGTCCTTGGCGTCCTCCGTGTTTGGGCGCCATTTCCATACGGGAAGAACGTAGGGTTATTACACGACCGGATTATGGTTGTTCCATCATTTCAATCAGCGACACGGTCGCCGAGCTGTAAATCATAGTTTATTATTATTATTATTCTTCCATTATACTCATATGCAAGCGGAGCTTATGATGAGTCCTTGCGTGATGTTAAATAGTTGATTATACAGGAGGAAATACAGGTGTTGAGACCACGCCAAGATAACAAGAACATAGGAAAATACAAAGGAGTGACAATTAGATACATGCAATAATAACTTCCCAGCCCAGGAACATAGAGCGATTTATTGGAGTGATTTGTACACCTCTGTATTTATTAGGAACCTGAGGTGCTTGGGTTCCGGATTTAATGTATCCCCTGCGGGTTTCAAACCCACACACCTTGGTTTCCCATGCCAAGGCACTACTGAGTGGCTGCATTAACTAACTATTCAGTCACCGGGGCTGTAAATTATAGTATAATAATGAATAAATGATGAAATCACTGTAAATAAGAGTCTATTCAGTGCGTCTGTACTTTTTGACTGCAATAGTGAATCTCATTAAAAATAGTGTATTTATCAATTATTAGTAGCAAGTCAGTGTTATGTCATCACACTATTTCACTGCTCTGAAATGAAGAAAGAAAGCTTATAAAAATATGTTCTTTTTGAACTGACTCTGAACTTCATTCAAAAAGAATGTGTTTTTATAAGCTTTTTTCTAATTAATATTAGTTAACTATCTTCACTATGAACACTATTCTACACTATTCTACACTATATTGTCTCTAAAAGTACTATTCTACATTATCATACACTGTTGAAGTTAAATACTGCTTATTTATAAGATCTTAATAAGAGATGTAAGTACAGCTGCTCAATTCACTGAACATCTGATTATTTTCTTCTGTACTTTGTAAAAAGCAGCTGTATTATTAGTACAGACACTCTGCTCATCAAACAGTTATAATATTAAGACTGTACTTTTTAAAAAAAGTGAAGATTTATATAAAAGAATGAGTATATATAAACGCACTGAACAGACTCTAAGTTAT